CTCGGGCGTTTTGTCGCCGCTCGGTCATTAGAAGCCTTATAACGCCCTTGGTGCATGAATAACAAGCCAACGACCAAAAACCTTTTTGTGTGTGTTATTATCGTTTTAAGTGTGCTGATTTCAAAAACAACATTAAAAATTCTGTAACACTCACAAATTGTTCTCATTTTAACATTTTTGTCTGTATAGCTAGGCAAATGTAGCTCTGAATCTCTAGAAAACTATGAGATGCAGGAAGTTAAAATAGAAAAGTTTTAGGGGTCAATTTTAGGGTGTATACAGAGTTTTAGGACGTAGACAAAGATAGTAGTAAACACTTTGGTAAAATATTTCTACATTGTGATTCCTTCCACTATCACGCATTGATAGGCGTGACGGCTTCACAGCCAGAGTTGCACTGGACCACCAGAACCGTATTTATTTCATTCGAGGCACACGCGTTTGCATTGTTGCTATCAAGATAAGATACTAGTTAGTGTTCAGTCATTGCTAGTCGTGGTTGTAAGAACAGTCCTGACAGTTTTTGTTATATTTGTGGCAAATTTGTGAATAGAAAACACCAACGGAACATTACAGACTTGTTAAAAATGTGTATTTTTCCTATTTTGAAATTAAACTTTGTAATCAGAACTAAACTCGGGCGCCACCTAAGGTATGTTATATTTGTGTAAAAGACCTAAATTGCTCAAAAAAGGAGATGATAGCAACTTTTGTTGCATTGATATTACTGGTTACAACTCAGAAAACAAAAAAGTAATCCAGTACTCTAACCTAAAATTTGCAATTCTGCCAATAGGCCATAGTCCGGATAGGATTATTCCTGAACCACCAGTGGTTAATGCAACTGTTAATCTGGATAATTTGTCAAGTGATGAACCTCCCTGTGAAGAAGATGAACCAGCTGACGTTGAATTTTAGAGCCCCGTAAACAGTGTGGAACCTCAGTTGTTTACTCAAACAGAGCTAAATGATTTGGTCAGAGAGTTGGGCTTCAAAAGAGAAAGTTGAACTGCTTGGCTCCAGACTCAAGGAAAATAACTTATAGCAGCTGGAACTTCAACTCATGTGTACAGGAGAAGAGATCTGACACTCATTTTTTCAAACAAGAACAGGTTTTAGTATATTGCCCCAGAATTGCCGGTCTAGTGAATGAGATCGGAATTGACTTCAAAAGAGAAGAATGAAGGCTGATTATCGATTTTACTTAATCTAATTTAAAAGCAGTACAATTAAACAATGGCAACACAGATGCATCATTACCTGTTGCTCATTCTGCACACACGAAGGAAAGTTACGAAACCTCAGAGTAAAAAAAAAAAAAAAAAAAAAAAACTACTCCGCTCATGGATGGATGATACGGGGGTGACTTTTTTATTTTTTATTTTTTTTGCGTCTTCAATTGACGCAACGCGTCTCAAGCCCCAGAGGGCGTTGAGCGCTTTGCGCTTCGGAGTAAATTCCTCCAATTAATTCAGCGCGGGGATAATCCTCCATTAATATTTCAATATGTCATATCCGTCACGCCTCGAGCAGTCAGTTGTCAAGAGGACCGCCAGTAGCATCTTCGCGTACGCGCCTCCTACTACCCGCCCCTGCGTCACTACTCTGCGGCCAGAATCGGGAAGGAATTAGGCCTGGGGTAGGGTTTCGGGCACCTCACACGGGTTGGACTAGCCCCTGTAAAGTACCAAAATTCGTTTTGTCGTAACAATTTTTTTATAAACTTAAAAATAACATGCATGCTTCTTGGCCAACAACGTGGGTTTGTTAAATTCCCATGTTTTCTATGTGAATGGAATTGTAGGGCACGAGACCAGCATTTGACTAACGAGAATTGGCCTGTAAAAAAAAGCTTTAAAAGAAGGAGAAACAGTCTACGAGAACATCAGGAAGATCAACGCAAGATTCCGTTGCCTCCATTGAACATAAAATTGGGCCTCATGAAACAATGTGACTCTTACCTAAACGTGGGCAGTGTTTCAAATACCTGCGCGAAATGTTTCCGCAATTGTACGAAGCTAAATTAAGAGGGAATCTTCGTTGGGCCTAATATTAGAAAAATTATATTAGATACTCAATTTCAATTACATATGACAGTAAATTAAAAAGAAGCGTTGATTTCATTTAAACACGTTGTAAATAAGTTCTTAGTCAACAAAAGGACCTAGACTATCAAGCAGTAGTTCCAAATATGCTGGATGCTTAAAAAATTGTGATGTTTAATGAGCCTCAAGGATCACTCTTTAAACAGTCACTTACAATTATTTCCGGCTAATTTAGGTGATGTAAATGAATAACAAGGTGAGCATTTTCAACAACACCCTAAACGTGATGGAAAAACATTATCGTATGGTAAAACGTAAACGTTAATATAGGCAATTTTATTTTTTTAAACTATTTCTGTAAACACGGTACAAATTATTTCTTTTAATTTTCTACTCGTATGTATTAAGGAACGATAAAAATATGATTCTAGTTCCATTTTTGACGAACTCCGTATTTTCGAAAATTGCAAAAGTAAACATTTCAAAACTAAAAAATTGAAGCTAGAGATTTTTTCCTTAGGCAAAATCTCTTTTAAAAAAGCAGATCTTTTAAAAAGTATGTACCGTTTTCTGAAAATATGAGTCGTTTTCGAGTAATTTGGGCTTAATATTATTGCAGTTTATTATAAAAAACAATTTTTAAACGCTTCAAATTTTGTCTTTAGTTTTTTCCCCTCAGGTAGCAGAAGGAACACTTCAAAAATTGGCAAAGGCTTATTTCCGTTGAACTCTCTTAATTTTTGAAACTGGCAAATTTAGAAATAACATGAAAAAGTATATACTGTTGTAGTATCAGTAGTTTCGAGTCAATGTTCTCATTCACGTTCAACGTAGATTTTAGATCGAATACATTGATGAGAGATTGGTGTATGCAATATTTTTTTAAATCTTTCATTGAAATATGCCAACAAAACTAATAGGAAGGGAGAATGAAAATATTTTCTTTTAAAACGTCATGATCGTTCTTCGTTGAAGGTTTTCCTCTAACTATAACGGTTTAAAAACGTTTTTGTTTTGTTTAGGTACACTATCTCGCAGTGAGATGTTCTTGTTTTCCTAAAATAAAGATGTATTTTCACATTAACTAAGTTGTATCCGATAGTGACTGAGGCAAAAGGGACGAGGAGAGACAGAGCGAGCTTTTTAGATGCTTTACTGTTCCCAAAAATCGGGAATGTAAAAGTATAGCACCCTTGTGACAAAGAGAACAAAAGTAGATTTCTGCTTTAAAGTAAGAAAAATTAGATGGTTATTTCAAGTCAATAGTAGGTTACGGGTTCCGCCCAACTTATTAAAAAAAATTTGCAATACACAAGTCTAAACATTTTCCTGCCATTCTCAGATGTTTCACGTGAAAACGTGTGTAGATTTTCCACATTTTTGCAATAATATAAACAACCCACTAAAGGACATAGCTCTCAATAAATAAGTTTTCATTTACTTGCATTGTCTGAACGTGTTGTACAAACACAGCATTATAATATGTATGAGCCACTAAAATTTTGTGGATCTTCATGACTTTATTTGTGTAAAAGCAAAGCCGTCGTCTTCAAGACTTTATTTGTGTAAATACTAAGCTCAAATATCACGTAGGTCACCAATTTAACTGTTTTCTTCTGCCACCAGGGCTATCAAATCGTGTCCCAATTGTACTACAAGAAATTCTTCATTAAAACTTGCCAAGCAATAGTAGTTTATGCAATTAGTTTATAATGTTAAGCTTGATTGCATGAGTACATGTTTTAAAATGTGCGACTTTAGGAGCGAGTTTTCAAATTTGTGCGAATGTAATAAAGCAACATTATAAACAAGTTGCATACTATATTTTTTGTATAACAGCATTATACATTTATAAGAGAATCAAACTTTATTTTGCGAAACAACTTCCCTGTGACGAGTCGGGTATTTGACATCGTGCGAGTAAATGGTGGTCGGCTGTTCCGTTTAGCTCTACCTCCTCCCGATTCTCTCGCTACGATTGGCAGAATGTGTGATGACATAAAATCATTCGTGACCTACAATCTAATACGTCATCATTTATGCCGTAAAATACCCGAGTATGAACGATTTCTTGCAACAGAAAGGTTCTTTTATAATGCTGGAATACAAAACAATATATTAAAAATACGTTTCATAAAAAATGTTAACATTAAAATCATTGGGGATAACAAGTGATATTTTAAGCGCGTGACTTAAGTATTGAAATTCAACTATCAAAATATGAATTCAAATAGGAAACTGCCAACATTTTTTTAAAAAATATATAAAATTGCAATATTTATTTATACTTTTAAATAATCATATATTTATAACAATTAATACATTGAAAAAATACTTCTATTAACTAAATTATATTTTTTATTTTAATTCTATTAAATTCTGGTTAACTTAGTTGAAAGTTCCTCCATTCCGTGAAAATTTACGAACATTTTTGTCTGTGTTTATAAACATTCTGAATTTTTCCAAACGATTATTAAAGTTTATTGTAGATAATATCTCTCTCGATGATAATAATTACTACAATTTTTTAAAATAAATATTTGAAATGGCGCCAATTTATAAAAATATACGATAGAAGTCACTTCTACGCTAATAGCACAGGGACTCAAAATTCGTTGGCACTTTTCCTCACCGATGAAAGGGCACGTAGAACCTAATGTATCATACTCTTCACTTTATTATAAAGCAGTACCTTAGCATAATCGCTAAGGTCATGGTAATATATACTTCGAACCATTTTCATAAAGAAAAGTTAGCGACTTGACATGTATTGATAAAATAGTGCTCTTTTAAAATACAGTTTGTCGACGAAATTCTTAGCCAGAACCTAAATAAACTGAAAGCAAATATCATTGAAAATAGCAAATACGATAAGACTTGCGCAATTCGACACCCACATAATTCAACCAAAACTAGTAATTCTCTAGGAATCGCTACCCGTGCAGCAGAGGTTGCCACCCAATACTTTCCCGCCCAACGTGACGTCATTCTGGACATCTCTCGTGCTCCGTATTTTGAGTTGAAATCTTTATTCTTTGTCCGCTTAGCAAATGTTATTTGGTTGGCTACACTTTCGTACAGAAAATAGAAATCTGAATCGCGCAGGATCCTAGACCCTGTTCCAGGTCACGGCCGCCATATCTAGAACCTGCCGCTAGTATCAGCTGTTAACGTTCAAAAATAAATTTATAACCATGGTTGTGACAAAAGATATGTATTTACCAACGGAAGAGGAATTAACAGTGGAAGAAGTACCTCTGTCAAGTGCACCTTTGAGAGCTGGTGCATTTCATTATGGAAAATTTTGTGAAAACGAAAACAATGTAAGAAATTACATTTCGTTGAGTTTCCTTATGATTTTCTGTCTGTATTTTTTGTATTGTAAAGTTCTCTCTATCTTAGTCATTCGTTCCCAAACTGTGAAGGCATTTGTACGTTCATTCACATTGTCCTTGCTGTAAGGTTATGTTTGGAGGTTGAATTGTAAGGTTAGTATGTAATACGTGCTGCCAGGATGATTTGGTATGTTTCCAAATGTTGTACGTGCGTAATGTTTGCAATGAGCAGCAGTTATCATAAGATTTAAACATTTCTGTGTAAGAGGCCATATATAGGGATACCAGTTTGAGATATGCACTTTCAATTAAAGTCCAAATTGTGGGTTTTTAACTTGGTGTTGGTTGTCAGTAAAGTGAATGTAATAACTGGTTGTAAGTAAAATTGAAAACAAAAGGAAGATGGGATATTACAATATATTGAGTAGTATACATTTTTTGGGGGGTTCAAAATTGTTACATACTTTCTTGTATTCAATTAGTTGCAAATGCGTAGTCTTAAGTTACTGATGATATTGAAAATTTGGTCTTGAAATCTTCCTGTAAACTGGAAAATTCTTTTATTAATTCTTACTACCAAATGTTTACTATGATCCAAATCAGAGTTGTAATAGTTATTAAAGAAACAGTTTGGTATGGACATCATAATGAAACAAGTATTGCCTTTTACCAAGAGGTGTAGGCCAAGTTAGTAAAGTTGGTAAAGATAAAATTGTTATATTAACGTTTTTAGTACATGTCTGTAGGTATTATTAAAATCTTTTGTATCAAACATTGTAGAAATGTTAAAGAGCTTATTTATATCTGGCGCGAAAGCATTATGAATTCATGAGAGAACGCGTTTAATTATGACTTGCATAACAATACGCGAAAGAGTGCGACGATCAACTGTTAGAGCACTGCCATAAATCTATGTACAAATAATACATTTACTATGAATTCTTCCCTGTGTGGAAACATGTTCTATCACTACTGTGGAATTATGTATTTTTGTTGCTGGAAATTTTTATTTTGATCAGGAACTGAATTCCGTTCTTGAGATTTGTATTAAAGCTTTGATAAATGTATTTGTGATGTATGACTGAAGGCCCACAAATTTAAGGGCTCTCAGATATTCTAGATCAATTTAGTAGTATATGTATTGATGTTGATTGCTATGCTGCGAGTTTTATGGTCTTGCTAAATACCAAGTGTTTTGTTTCAATTTTTTAAAAATATTTCCTACTTATTGTGTAAGCTTTTGGTTGTTCCATTTCAGTATTATGCATGTACAATATTATTCGTTTCTGAGTTTATTACATAATTACAAGACTTCTTAAATTTTCCCATTTACTTTAAAGAGCAGTGTAGATACACATTTTAGTGTTGAGTTAGTTTCTAAAGAATTTTGGATTTAAAAAAATTTGTCATATCTTATGCACTTGCAAGAAATTAACCTTGCTGGTGAAGTTTTGATTGATAATAGTTCAGAATTTGCACACTCTTTTCAAGTCAAGAAATTGCAAAGTATGATGATATTCAGTATCAAGCAGAAAATGTTCCAATGGACTGTTTGAATGGTTTTTGTACATTTTATGTATCGAGTTATATTAAAAATATTTCGAAATGTTTACTCATGTCAAACTTACTTCATTTCTTTTATGTGTATATTTTCAAAGAGGAACACATGACATTTAAGTGAATGCTCTTTTATGAATGTGGGTTATTGAGTCTTTTTTTATCTGATCCATAAACATTAATGTACTATTTTGAAGTTCCAATTCTTGGACACTAGGATTTCTCTTATTTATGTAAGTTTTGTAATGCGAGCATCATTTTTCTTTTGGTGGTGTAATCAATTGATCATATAATTATGGATGCATGATGTCAGGTTATATTTCAAGTGTCTAGAAATCTGGGCTGTTGTGCTTCTGGAAAACGTGGTAATGTCAGAATGTTTGTTCTTGAGCATTTGGAAAAAATTTTTGTTAAACTATATTTAAAAAACTGAATTGTATAAAAAATTGTTATTCACATTTTAAGTGTACATCTTTTTATTTACAATTTCATGCTGTTTAAACCTTCTTAGTATTGATTTACAACTGAATTTCATAAATTTTCAATAGTTATGAACTTTACATTGTTCAAAGTGTGAACTTAAGGTTTCTAGTTTTTGTAAAATTATTTCAAATAAAGTAAAACATACAGCTAGTTCATTTGTATTGTGACCAATAACTAAATATTTGATGATGATTCTATAGAAAAATAGTTTGCAAAGTTAAACATAGGTAATCAAAATTTCATTGCCAGAAAACATGGGAAAGATTGGGTAATATGGGAATATCAAATGCACAACAGCCGTGTGAAATGAAAAATGTACTGTTATTTGATATTTAAATTTGTTGTTTTACGAAATGTCATTGTTTTTAGGAGTTCATGCTCTGCAGAACTGAATTAAATGATCCAAGAAAATGCATTAATGAAGGGAAAGCAGTAACTGCTTGTGCCATGACATTCTTTCGTAATGTGAAAAATCTATGCGAGAAGGAATTCGTCCAGTATTCTAATTGCTTGGATAAATCATCTCAAAACTTTGATTTTGAAAAGTAAGTAATTCTGATTTGTAAGTAGTTCTGAGTAAAGTGTTGCTAAAAAGGTAAGAAAAAAAATTGGAATTAATTTTTTATTAAGAGGTTTCTACCAAAAGTGAATTTTTAATATGGTATTGATGAATTGGTATGAATGGTGAAAGTGATTGAAATGGAATCGTGTATTATAGGGCAACAATTGTTTCACACAGGGTTTGTCGTAAGAAGCAGTTTTTGCCAAGATGTTGGAACTGTATTAATGCACCTTTTAGCTCAGTAGAGCATCTATCTAGATAAGTCTGACTCAAATCCGGGTGGGATCAATTTTTTGCACTTTATGGCAATCCATTTTTAGAATGAATTTTTGAATTGTGTGAAAAATGGGAGGTGATATTTGTTCACGATTGGTTCACGTGCGATGTAGGTTAGCACTCTCATTTTCTAAACCAAAGTTTTCATGTTCAAAGCTTGGTGGGGACAGTGGATTTTTGAAAGGTGGAAAATACTATGTGCCATGTAGCTTGTTACAGAACCGTGGTAAAATTTCAGGTTTTTGCCCAGACAATTTTTAGACAGTATGTTATAATTACAATAAAAATGCGCACACACAAGTTGATGTCTGAAATATTGATATAACTGTGGTAAAATCCCTGGCAAAATTAAATCCTCTGAACAATCAAATCAAAATCTATCCTAATCAAATCCAACGTATGTTTGGTTGAGGAATGACACAAGTAGTGGATAGATATAACTGAGGCCAGTGTGAAGTGAACACTTAAGCCAAAAACTGAATAGGTTGGGCATCAACATGCTGCACCCAATGATTCATCTCCTTTCAAGGTGGCCAATGATAGTATGCAAAAAAACATCTGTGTTTATTTTGGATAAGAATTACTCTGTTACAAAAAAATTGCCTTTCATCCTATTTCTAAATCTAAAATATGAAAGTCTGTTGTAATAATAAAAAATCAAAGTTTGCTTTTGTGGCCAGGATTTATTAGTTATTTGAAAAATAGTATGGAACAAGTTATTTGGAGTTGTGATTGAGGAGGTATTTATAGTTCATTGATTGATTGAATTTGCCTTATTTTACGTGGCGAGACTCGGGCCATCAGGCCCGCTCTTCCGTCTGACCACGCAAATTTCGCTACGCTCCTTTCACCAACTAGGAGAGAAAGGAGGTATTTCTTGGGCGAGAAACAGGCGATTTGAATTTAGCTCAGGCGTCATTTTGGCTTGAGGATCTTTTACATGCAAGTAAATCTACGAACATGGGACAGCCGGCTTTACTTCCCCTCCGAAGGAAGGCTTACGAAGGATTTTTTCGCCCTTAAAAATCCACGGTTTCGATCGGGTTTGAACCCGCCAACTTGGGTACAACAGTCCAGTACGCTAACCGTTACACCATCGCCATCGCGATTCATTCCTATCATTGAATCTTAAATTCATTATTTTTATTGAAATTTTACTGATAAATAGCTATAAAAGGAATATAAAAAAATTATTTAGAAAATGTAATTTCACACAATGCAAGATAATATAGATATCTCTTCCAAAATGCTCTTCACTGTAATTGGCATAAAACTTAATGTAAATGTAATGTAAAACTTAATGTAAATATTAATACATTTTTCGTTGTCTGAGAGACACTGTGTTGTGGACACAGTTGCCGTAGTTTCAGCTGTCATATTGAGACCTTCCTCAAAGTGAAATCCACAGAGGCGGGCTGTGCATGGGTTTATAAAGACAGGTACCCCTCCACTGTGCTGCCAGTTGGTGAGATGGCAGAGTGGGTTGTAGGAGTAAGCATTGGACGTTTTCTGTGGACAGGAGAAAAAGATACTACCTATGGTTCGACAAGGGGAATGTAGACAGATGTACCCAATTTAGTGTTAGTATAATTTTTTTATGTAGCAGGGATTTGATGTAGAACATTGAAATTATGTATTTCAGATGTAAAAAGTGTATTAAAGAAAGATGTATTAAATAAAGCATTTTTTTAAAAATTGTTTATAATATGAAGTTGAGGTTTTTAACTTCACTAAGATGCACTTTTCCCGAATGATTTCATCTGAAATTCGAAACTCGGCAGAAATTCAAATAAATAAATAAATCGGTATAAAGAAATTGTGGCACGTTATATTTTGTAAAATATTTTGAAATCATGTTTACTTAAGATTGCCCAACTTCTTATGTTCAGGATAAGGTGTGCCAGACAGATTCTTGTCTGTTAAAAGAGCTCTCTGTCCATTGCAGAGAATGGTTAACAGTTGGTTGACATATCACATTATTGCTATATTCAAGAAATAACTGAATTATTTAATGAAACAACAAAAAAACAAGGAAATAATTCGCTAATCAAACTTTTTCTGCCCTTGAGAACATATGTTTATACAAGGCTGAATTTAAAATGGAAATAAACGTGGAAAAGTAATAAATAGTAAAGAATTATATCTATATAGACATAATTCAAATCTGGTGTTTGATGAATCAAATGTGAAATATAGTATTTCCGTGTGAAGAGACTATTGCCCACCTCACATAGCTTCACCTTGGATGTTTACATTTCTTTCTGGATTTCGAGGGGAAACGAGAGTGAATTCAAGGAAAGTTGCCTCTGTGTGAAGGAGCGAAGGGCTCTCCACGTAGGCAACTACATGCCGGCATGGTTTGACATACCTGGCCAAAACCATTAAGATGATTTTCTCCAAAATTGATATTGCCTGGGTGGTGTTACTGAAAATGTGATTACTTTTGCATAATTCTCTGATTGGTGTGTTTGGTCTGAAAATCATGAGTGGAATAGTCTGTGAAGTGAGTAGTAATGAAATGACATTTCCAATATTTTTACAACCATTTGGTGTATACGTCTTGTGTTATGTCTAAAGACTGGATTTTCATGCACCAAAATAGTCTAATACGTGCAGTAAAACTACCAAAACATGCAAATTGTGCAATAAAAAATCAAATCTTTGCAAAATGGTGTTATATAGCGCAAATCTCCACCTAGTCCACTTAACATATTTTACATTTTAGATGGTGTAAGGTGAATAAATATTAGGATTGTAGTATTTTATTATAATTAAGTTTGTATTTAAACAACTTTCTTGATATTTTAAATATTATTCACATACAAAATTCAATTAACACAAAAATACAAAAGAGTAGATAAAATATTGAAAAATTCAAAACTACCTTTGAAAATCAAAAATAATTAAGTTATACAAGAAATATTCCTCATTGTCATTATAATTTACAATTATGTACATTTCCAAATTATTGTCTGAGAAATTGTAATATCTTTATTCATCTAATACATGCTTCAGACAGAAAAAACTTCATTCTACATTTACACTTGTTGGTGTGCCGAGTCTCACTCTTACATACAAGAAAATGCAGCTAAAAGCGGTAAAATAATGCGTTCATTGTCTCATCTCTCTCAGGGCATAGCGTTGTCTCAGCGGCTTCTAAAAAAGACCGTGGACTGAGTTCATGGCAACACTGCATATCCCTAAATTCCAACTGCAATCCCACAGAAATTTTTATTAGACAATAGGCATCATGGAAGTTGTAGAAACTCACTTCATGGGGCAACAAAATGTAGAATTGTTACGTATTAAACGGCAATCGGGTTTCACAGAGCACCCGAATGTTGGTGCCGGGTTGTCATGAAAACTTTCATTAAATGAAACCTTTAACTTGGTAAATTAAAACAAGTTGATCATATAAGAATTATATTTCATGCAATAACACTATGTCTTGTTCATTCAGTCAGTAAAACCACAAAATGTGCATTTTTCAGGTAGAATTATCAACAAGGTGCAATTTTGTGCAAAATAAAACAAGTACTAAAATTATGTCTGTGTCATGATTCAAAAATATGTCAAGGTTTCATTCAGTTTCAAGTTAGCAAAGAAAAGATGTAATTTTACAAGAATCCGGTCTTAAGTATTGACGCTTGTATTCTAATCCTACCAGCACATAGCTAATTATTTGTGTAATATGCACAATGCATATTTGCACACTAGTATAGATTACCCAAAATTTTTAATTACCTCTACACAACAAAGTGCCTAAGCCTAAGCAGTTTAATTTTCCAGTACCTTTATGCTTGGCATGTTTTTAAATAAGCATTATTTGCTGTTTAAAAATATTTTCTCCATAGTACAATTTTGGAAGAAATTGATTCCATGTTTGATGTAAAAATTAATTCTTCAAAACAAGGGAATTAATAATCTCTATGCAGTTTGTCCTAAAGTAGGAAATTGAGGTCGAATGCCATAGGTCAAAAATAAAACTACCAGTTACTACCTCAAATCATATTTATAAGCTAAAATAGTATGTTGTCTTGTAGAAATAATGTTTTAAAATATCAATATCTGATAAAAGATTTTAAGTAAAAATGTCAAATTTGAAAGAAGGCAATTCACTGACATCTGAGATAAGGAAGGTGTGCTAATATATATGCCTTCATGAACATTTAGGTGCAAAGCACTATATACAACCCTCCCAGAAACCATTTTCTAGAGCTCTGTTGTAATCTTCTAATTTCATTAACCAAATATTATTTAAAACAATCAAGATAGCATATTATAGTGCTCTGAATTCCAACTAGGAGTTAAATATTTGCTTGTATTTGGTGGTAATGCAGAGGCTCTCCTGAATTCTCTCCTGTGATACGTTTCATCTTTAGACCTTCAAGAGTTCAATTTCTCTTAGTGATTGTGTGGGACATGGAAGTGACTGTTTGTGAAGTAACAGTGGTCAACACAGTAATTCAGTGTAAGATACAGTGACACACATTAATATGAAAATATTTCCTCCACCTGTCTGCGAGGAAAATGTACACTATAATCTTGCCCGATCGAGAATCGAACCCAACGTCACGTCATGGGAAGCGAGCATGCTGCCCAATGAGCTAAACTGCGAGGCCATTCCCCCACTTAATCATTAAAAATAAATTTGTGTAACGATAACATTTGGTGAAACCGTTTTTTTTTTTTTTCTCTACCGAAGAACTTTAATGCTCTTCTCTCTCTTCTGTTCCCGCATATCCATTGGTCTGACATTTTCAGAGATCAGATTTTTGCTGCAATTAGGGTGTCATAAACCAAACGATTCAAAATATTATATTTTCTAGATTCCCTTACACAATAAAATTATTAAGTAATATTTGGTTATCTTTTTCACTTACATCGTTTAAAAAAAATCCTCGAAATTTTAAAAATTGGAAATACATTTTCTCTTCATAGAAATCTTTTTCTAGATACAATGGCTTTAAAAAGCTTGTAAATTTTATTTAGAAGGTAAAGAAGGATTTTTTGAATTTGGAATGAAAATTTTTCAAAGTATCACAAAGAAAATCTATTTTCAAACTGCGAATAATTTTTATTTCAAACAGTTCAAAGTATGAAGTTACTGAATTTTTAAAATGGGTTAAATGTAAAAAATTGTGAAAACGAGCCTGGGAGGATTATGATATGGAAACAAGTTGAAAGGAACAGTAGTACACAATCACTGTTCAAAAATGTACGTTATTTCGTTTGAGTCACTTTTTACAGTTCGACTATGTAGATGCTTGAGGTGACCAGAGAACAGCTTTTGAGAGAACACTGAGCTGCAGTAGTTTTAATTCTGGTACCCTACTCTGAAGCCTGGGGTTTCATTTCCTGAGAAATTTTTTCTCTTTTATAGTGCACCTATATGGCTTTATTTTGTTTTATTAAAACCTCCAAACTTTTGAAAATGCCAAATTAGTATTTCCTATCACCATTTGCCGAAGAAAGTTTTTCAAGAGATGACTGAGAAATTAGTAGGATACAAGTTGCAATATTCAAATATTAAAGGACTGATACAAATAATATTTAAAAGTACGTGCTGTAGTAACAGCACTAGTTTAATTTTTATTAAATTACATTATTTATTGGTAAATGAGTAATTAATATTTAGAAATGTATCATAGTTTTCGATTTTGTTCTGTATAATATTTATGCACTATTTACTACAGGAGCAAATGAAAGAATTTTGCAATATCTTAAAGTTTCTTTTGAAAATAAATGATTTCAATTTACCACTTTTGTTAATTTTGAGGATGAAAAGTCTCAATTTAAATAGCTAAAATGTGAATAGGCATAAATTGTACTTTTTATGAACTACTTTTCCTTTGAAATTGAACGTTAATTAATTATGAATTTTGAAATGTTCGAAAGAGAGAGTAAAGATTCATTGTTGCGAATAATAATGGCTATTGATAGTATAAAAGAAACTTCCTTATACCCCTGGCTTGGCAGGCCCCCAGCTAAGCCTTGGCTCCTTTCAAAACACATGAGTTCTTTTTACCTTGTCTCCCTAATCATCACATTGAAGTGGCGTGTGAGTCCTTTTCAGTCAAGTCACAACAGGGCTCGGAGGTGTAGGGAGCAAGGTTCCTGTTAGGTGGCATAGTAGTCCGGAGGCCCAGTATGTCACACAGTTGGAAAATATTGCATTATGTTGAAGGGTAAGAACGGGAATTTTGGGGAAAATTCTGATTCAGTACTGGAAATGCACAGTATGTCACAACACGACTATGCAGTATTTAAACGCAAAGCCTTGGTGTAACGTGGAAGTTAATGCAAATTTTCCATCTGACTGGCTGTCTGTTTATTTATTGTATTACATTCAATCCTATGGCTAGCAACAAAACCTATTGGAGAAGGTGGTGGAGTATAATTAACAAGAATGAAATATTTTTGCTTGTACTTTTGCATGTTGAATATTTACTTCGTTAATTGTTACGTGTTAATGTTGTTTAGGTGCCGTAATACTCAGGCAGTATTGGACAAGTGTATGGCTGATAAGATGAACATTGAACGACCTGAGTATGGATACTATTGTCGTCCTAAGGTACATGCGACCTCAAGACCCAAGCCAGAACCCGAGAAACCAGCTGTCTATCCAGATGCTACCCCATATCTTCCTGATGATGCGCCTAGAACCAAGGCTAATTATGGATCAAGATTATACTGGTTTAATTAAAGAGTATTTCAGCTCCCTTTGGGCAATGCTTTGGCAAATGTTTGATGCTGTCTCCCTTCCCCAGCATTTGATGTAATCAGCCTTTTTAAGTTCTTGAATTGATGGCTTAAGTGTTTTATTTGTGGCCGCCTTGGGGTTTGATTACAATACAAAATGCAAGTTCACAATAGTTTCAAATTTAATAGTGACAAAACGTAATTCATATGTTGCGGTATGTGTTGCTAAATTTCATCTACTTTCTCTTTCTTTGCAGCGAGTGATTTTTCATTTGTGGTTATGGATAAAAGGTAGTATGATATTTATGGAACTTGTTGGTTTATAACATTGGATTTCAGTTGTACATACATCTTTAATTTTGCATATAGATTATTTATGCCTCTACGCAGTGTGCTTGCATTTGCAGACATTCTTTTGCAATTTCAATTAATTATCTTTATGTTGAATGGTTTACACAGTTCCAGTTTGGTATCCACATGGATATTGAAAATGTATTTATAAAGGGGGACATTAGCATGAAGTGAGTGTGGCTGGGTATATTGCCCAAGTGGATTGAGTATTCACAGAATAGTAATTCATAGGTCCAAGACCTGACATTTTTAGTTTACTTGTAATGAACTGTTATTTGAAATAAATGAAATGTATATAGTTAATTGAGTGATATTAATTATTTCTTTCAATATTTTATTATTAAATAGAGAATTCAGTTGTTTTAGTTAAGACTTCAAAGTTTGAAAATTTTGATATAATTGAGATTTCCCATTTATAATCTCTTGTATAAAAATACCAACATATTTTACGATTGGCAGTTAAAAATGATCACAATTCAAATTTGGTCAAAACAAGTGAGTAGTGCCATTTTGTAACTTGATATATAAGCTTAATGGAATCATGATTAGATTTGGTTTAAAAAAAAGTCTTTTCTGGTCAGTAAATGGGAAAGATGAGAGGTAACAGGTAAAAGAGAGAAGCCAGTGCTCTGACAAGCATTAGTATGTGTACATCCCACTGCTTACTGCACTATTTCAAATGCATTTCGCTCATTTTTTTATCAGTCCTAATTGCTCTCTGTTTTTATTAATATAGTGCAGATGAAAACGGTGACATCCACATCGCAAAGATCTATATATCATAAGAATAGAAACCAACTGATTTATCTACAAAGAATAAAAACATTTGAAACTAAAAAACTTGAAATTTGGTATCTAGATATCTACTTTATAACCACAAAGAGAATTATATTTTTAAATAATCAAAAAGGTATAAATGTTTCTTGGTTTGATGTTAATTGTGATGAATTTAGGCATTAAGAATTGCAGCTCAGTGGTTTGGAAGGGCAGGCAAGGTGGACGTAGTAGAGTATCATAATTGAATCAATTGAATTTGTCATTATTGATAAAGTTCATTTGCCTTGTGTTTAAGACAGATATCTTAATGACGTGGGTAACACTTGAGCGAGTCTTCAGGTGATGGCACGTAACTGTCAAGAAAGATCATGATTCTGTACTGTTCCTGATAAAACCTATTTTCTTTAATCAATAATGCATAAAAAGATTTTCCTTCTCCTTACATGTAATAAATTGTGTTATATTTTGCTTACTGTTTTGAGTCACATTGACTTGTTATTATAGTCTACAAATTTACATTTCAACTTTACGAGAGTCTTAAAATACATTACTTTTCTAGATCTACATTGTATTATGATGGATTTCAAGAGTATGTTATATTAATTTGCAGCGCATATATATTATATTACAATCGATTATATTAACAGTACCTAACAAAATGGTACTAACATGTAAAGCTTTTTCTTCGTTAAATGTTAACATGCATTATTTTACAGGATTATCTTTCCCTGGTAAATACAGCAATCATTTAATGGACTATTACGAATTGAGTCTCTTAAAATCTCATTTTACAGAATTGTAGTATTGTCCTTTGATATTCAATGTTAGACTTGGCTCTTTCTCTTGTGCTTGTATTTTGTATGTCTCGTGTGAGGTAATAAACGATGTGTAGTTAGGAAATGGTGGATGTTGAGAAGCATAATACAGGGCAAACAGGTTCCTTGTATAATATAGTAAGGATATGAAGAACTGACACTGCAGTGTCCAGTTCTTATTCAAGTTATTGTTGTATTCTTATGAGATTTATTTGCATTGTATTTAAATAACAATTTTTACATTCTCGCCTTACTACATTAGCTGAAAAGTGGAAGTATTTATTTATTTAATAGGTAATTATTACAGACAAAATTAGCTTACTTGATCCTATGTGGCTAGGCCGAAGGCCTTTAAGCCATTACAATACCTACATCCTTTCGCGTTCTAATCTTTCGAATTCTGATATTCACCCCAAATGGTCTCTCCGTCGCATCAAAGCCGCGAAAAAGAGACCATAAGGTACGGCTCAGGAAAAAACCCCTGAAGGGGGAAAACCGTGCCGTCAGAAGCCGAGTACATTCTAATCTATCCGACGTTTATTTTAGCTATATTATTTTCTGGCGCGGGCGTCCCGCCGTCTCCTTCCAGTGCTTGGCCTCCTCAGCACCTGAAATCAAACAGCGCCACAGAAGATCGTCCGCACCAACGCCTCTGCCCTTATATTTTCGATCCCCCCTTACCATCCCCCCCTAAAGTGGAAGTACATAAATTGTACAGACTACATTGTACTACACCAAGAAATAAGATCTAACCACTTTCCCTCAAGGCCTCGACAATTTATGTTTTTGTTGAATAATTGCCAGTTTCCTCTGTACAACAAAGTGGAAGTACATAAATTGTACAGAGGAAACTGGCAATTATTCAACAAAAACATAAATTGTCGAGGCCTTGAGGGAAAGTGGTTAGATCTTATTTCTTGGTGTAGTAAATTGCTTCCTATAACATGGTGTGTAGTCCAAATCCATGTTTTCTGGGCCGTTGATAGCGAAAGGTCGATTGACGGCAAAATTACCAACTACAGTGAATACTAGCACCAAAACCATCCGGATGATTATCTCCAAAATTGATATTCTCTGATCGATCTAAAGGAACTTCAGGCTCTGCAAGTTTGAAACAGAAGTTTTGATTAATGGGTTTACTTTATACAAAACCTGAACGTTTTCAAAATTTCCTCAAAAGGCTCCAAATTTTGTGATTAAACTTGGTCCTTGGATAGTGTAGAAGACACTATAAACAATAGTGCAGGTCTCATTTTTTTGAAACTTCGGTTTTTTGAAGATTGCAAAAGTTTAGAATCTTTTCTACGTCTTTGTGCAACTACTATATTGAAGATGGATTTTCTTAATAAAATCTGTTCAAAGACATCTTGAAGTAAGGTCATGTACAATTTTTTGAAAATGAGCACTACAATATTGTTATTGTACATATACTACATATATTATATTGTAGTACTATGTTAAGTTTTTTCCCCCTCAAAGATATTGCTCTAAAACTAGATCTTGAAATAATATAAATGAAAACTTGAATTTTTGAAAATTTAATACCAATGCTCAAATTTCTTTTAAAGCATCAGGAAGGTTGATTTTGAACATGCATTTAGTGGTGTAGGGGTAATGTGCCTAGTGTGTTAACACTAGAGCATGAGTTTGAATCTCAGTGTGGAGAAAACAATTTTGCTGGTTGTAAACGCTATTGCATAGCTATTGCAAGTAATGTGATAAAGTATGCCCATCTAGCACCACTAGTTTCCTGTGTTTTGAAGATTGAATAATAAAAGGTTAATGTTTGTTAATCACTACAAATTGTTGTGTTACGTTGACCTTTTTTATTTTATGGACAGTTAATTCAATAATTAATTGCAGGCAATGTCTTCATCGATTGTTTAACATATTGAAGATGTGTAATATTGAAGATGTGTAAAATGGCATTTAAAAAAATATAATAAGCAGGAAAAAGACCGTAATTAAAAATGGAGGGAAGAAAGGCAACAATACAATTATTTACAAATATTTCATTGCACTTGAATGTAAAATTAGCATAATATTTAAAGGTTTACTATAACATGAGGGGGAAAAGAACAAGATTGTAATATTGATAAACAAATTATTATTGGACTAATATCATTATTTTGGATTAATCTTTTTTTTTTTATTTGTTCTAAACCTTTCTCTAACAAAGTGTAAAAATTCAAAGAAAAAGTTTTTTTTTTATTTATACTGGAAAATTAAATACGGAAAAATGCCCATGTGGGTATCTTCACTTGATTAGACTAAGAGTTCCTAGAGCCATCTACAGCTAGTAGTGCCAAAAAACCAAACTCAACCGAACCATATCAAAACTTCAAGGCTAATTAAGTGCTCTATTGCCGAACTTTAGTCTCTTGCTGCTTTCTTGAAATCGTTGGGGCTGCTATATTCTGAAGGTAACAGCGCTTGCCTGAAAAATACAACTTCGTATTATTGGCTGTCATCGAAAGTGCATTTAAAATTAATGGCTATTTGAAGTCTGTAGGGGAAAAACTGTTTCGGCACATGTTTTCCCAAAATCAGGGTTGTATAAAGAGAAACAGGTAACATATGTTGTTTTGGGCTAATATACACCATAAGGTCAGAAAAATATAAAATTCTACCTAAAATTTAAAGCTTAGTGTGGGTTCTAGGAGGGGGCTCTAAAAATGTTTGATTAAATTTTGTTGTTTGATAGTGTGAAGAACTTTGGGGATGGGGCAGGTCTCATGTTTGTTCAAAATCATGATTTTTTGAAAATTGCGAAAAAATTTTCGGATTCTTTGTACAATAAAAAGTATTAAAGATAAAGATTTTTCCCTTAATGAAATCTGTTCCTGAAAGATAGATTTTGGAATGTCCTATAAAATGTTTCGAAAATTTGAGTGCCTTTTGCGCGAAAATACGAGCGAGAAAGTACGTGGTGTTGTTGCATTACTTGTTACTTAAAAGTTTCGTGAGAAGTTAAAATTTCTAGCTACTGAATTTGTGTGTGTGTGTGTGTGGGGGGGGGAGATTTCCTTCATTCCCCGTCGATCCGCGACTGAAGAAATGATTTTACTTGGCTCTTAAACTTGTTTATCGATTTTAATAGTTTAATGTCATCTGTCAGTGAATTGTTAAATAATGAACATGTATTGTATGTTAATGTTTTGAACTGAGCTGTTGATACTGACACTTGATGTATACGATTTCTATGTCGAATGTTATAGTTATGGGCATCTACATTGATTAGAAATATGATCCCGTCCTTAAGTCATGTTTGACAAAGACCCCCGAGTCATAAATCGAAAGACTGCAATGGTAGAATTCCTAGCATAATAAAGAGAATCACGTAGGTGGGTGGGATTTATTTATTACTAATGGACCCTGCAACACCTCGCATACAGCTGGTCACGGATAGTTAATCACGTTTTACGCCACGCTCTGCAAAAATTCTAATAGATAGACCCTCTCGCAAGTATGGCTTTGTTCAATGTGCTGTTTTGGATATGGTTGTCAAGTATCCTATTGTTAAAACGTTCTCGCTTAAATTTTGGCATGTGTTCGCCATGACACTATCTTACAGAAATTTGATTTACTTGCGAGATCCAAGGAATAAATTGCAGCGAAGACGCGCTTCCTTGACTGTACGACGGGTCTCGGAGTTGAGGGGCGCTTGGGTCGTCGTAAACGAATAAATCAACAACAGCTCCCTCACATGTCCGCTTCAATTCAAACGACTCGTTAAACAAAGTGTGAACGTTCCAGTGAAATCGGATTTTGCATATATGTGTGATACGCACATTCCATTTTATTTATATATAAATTCAGATTCGTGGAATTCTTTTCTGTGCTCTAAAAGTGTGGGAATTATATATTTCCCCAGAATATTATACCTATCTCAGGCAAGAATGATGATTCAATAAATATACACAACAAGCAACATGAAGGCTCACTTAATTTGAAAGAATTCTGAATGCTTAGCAGAATATACTTAATTTTGTGTTCAATTTATTAAATTAATGTTCCATTTGAGGTTTCACTGAACAGAGATCCAAAAAAAGTTGCATTAACATCAGTCAATATCACGTCATTCATAATCATTGGAGTGAATAATTGTTTATTTGAAATGGAAAACTGCATTGAAACTATTTTCCTTTGTTTATCCCAAATATAATTTATTACCGAACCAATGTGAAACAACTGATATTGTAGTAATCACGGTTTCTTAATGGCAAAGAATATTCGTATCAACAGCAAAGAGAACTGTTCTTCAGTCTCTAATCGCAGAGGACACATCGTTTACGTATATTAGGAAGATAATAGGGCCTAAAATAGAATCCTACGGGACCCCACGCGCAATTCGCAATGCATCGGAAAGGTAAGTAAATAATGTTCCTTCATTCCAGAACTGTATTTCTAATCTTTGTGATCAGTGCATGAGTTATAAACAGAACCAATATAGATCAGTACCACGAATTCCATTCCAAGGTAATTTTGAAAGTAAATTATGATCAATGACGTCAAGTGTTTGAAGGATTTAAAAATATTCCAATAGGTGCTTCGTTTTGATCCATTGTTGAAGCGACATCTTTAAGAAGAGAAAATATGGATGTTTCTGTAGATTTTGACGTGTCACATGACACACATACATATATGTGTGTGTGTGCGTGTTAACCTTTGTACAGTGGTAGGAGCACAAGTCTGAAACAATCCGGAAATTCATCTAAACCCGAAGAATATTTTTTTAGTGTACCGATTATTAACAATTTTGACAAGAGATGCAAATTGATTGCTTAATATCTAGTTTAATTGTTACAATAATGATAAACTGGTCTTTGAATTTTATTCAAATGGTTCCCTAGAAGTTCGAGAAATATACTATTATGAAATTTTTGCAAATTTTATAAACATACAACTACAAATCTGCAATTGATGTTTTTTCTTATTGAAAACAGTCTGTAGTAAACTGAACATTTGATAAAGTTCATGGATTGTGTATGAAAAATAATATTGAAATTAAATTGTCTATGAGAAAGTAATTGGTCTACAATTTGTGTTCTTTTATCTCGTATCAACGTATTTTCGTCAAAAAAAATGTGTTAAAACTGGCGAAGTGAATGCGTTTATACACTTATTTCAATGAATTTACTTTCATGTCCAGTAAATTGTTTCATTCCATGTATTTGTATTCGAAGATATTTCCACATCTGAACTAGGGACGTCCACTATTTTCTAGATCATAATTTTATGAGCCGGCACCCGCCTCCGTTAAGATCGGCTGCGGGTGTTTGTGCCCCGCCTGTGACGTTTCATGATACTCGTAATGGCTACTGAAGCCATGTAAAAGCTGAACTTAGCTGCAGACGGCCGCGATCAATTTGTTCTTCCAGAACTGTACAGACAAGATTGTTACACACTGTACGTGAAAATACTTTCTATTATGATGCTGTGTGTGTGTAATATATATAAGTCATAAATATACTGAATTCAATTCTGTGGAACTCTAAGTTACCATATATCCACGGATTTGAATTCAGTATATTTATGATTCGTTTCCCTTCATTCATCATATTATTAGTATCCTTATTACTTGTGCTCTTTCGAAACTGTGAAGCCCAAGTATTTGCAATTATCGCATATTGTATTTTATCATTTCCATTATTTAGGTAATTTCCATATTATCCTGTTACCATATACTTTGGTTTGGACACCTTTATTTGCTATCCCCATATATCAGATACCTTTTTTAATTTTCTAAACATATAGTTAATATCCTCATCGTGAACCATGATAACGAGATCTGCGAGAAGTAGAACATCTAGTGTTGATTTTCCATTCCACATTCCCATTACACTGCATTTCCGCGTCCATTCTTTCAGCTTCGGCTATGAACATGGTTAAGAGTTGGGGCATACAGCAGCCCTGTCTTAATTCTTTAGAAATCGTTACTCGAATATTATCTGATACTTGGCCTTTTAACATGTGCAGGTCGAAATTTGGTCTCATTTTTATTCTACGGATAGATACTAATTTCTATGTGCCGTGAAATAATTAGCAGTCGTCGCGTACTGGAAGTAAAAAAATAAAATAAAAAGACGGGTTTCCACTCTCTTCGCGACGCTAATCGTCGTTCGTGCGGCGTTTGTGTACCTACCGTGAATGTTCACCAATTCAAGGCTGCGAAACACTAAGCTAATGACACTGCTCACGACCTTGACAAGCTCGCAATTCCGCGAAGCACAGCGCGTATTCTTCCGGGCTCTAGTTTCTCCACATTGAGAAACAGAATCCGGATGTCATGCCAAGGTGGGCCCGCGGCATGCAAATAAAGGTTAATATTATTTTCTGACTCGTTATTTTTCACACATACACCTCAATGTATGATGGTTCAGTTGAATATATTTGTTATACATCCCGGTGACCAGTCATAGCAATTGTATATCATAATCCATGCTGGTGTCACTTGGTGAAGTAGTCCTGCTCGTTTTATCTCGTTTTATCATTATATTCCCCTTGCTTTTGTAGATAATGATGATTTTCTATTCGTTTTTCACAGTTAAGGAAATTCTCTCAAATTATCCGATAAGTACTAGATTCTATTTAGAAGAACAGAATTCATTCAGAAAAATCTCGATCTTCAGTTTTGCAGTTGTAGTTAAATTTATCTAAAGTAGTGGTTTACGCTATCTAAATGTAGTGTTCGAGGATAGGATGGCGCAGTAGTTATGAGTGGAATATACAATGGTGATCAGAAAAAAAAGATGAAATTGATAGTGCATTGTTTGCAATTTGTGCTGCTCATATTTTAAATCTTATGCTTAATGATGCCATGAATGGGACATTAGAAGTTTCGACATTTTACTGTTTATTGGAACGAATTTGTTTTCTTTGGTCATAAAAGCGAAATAATCTTATATTAAAACACCTTTGTCCTACAAGATGGTCATCACGGAACGATTCTTTAATAGATATATGATTAGAATGTATGTTAATATTTTGCTATCTTTTTACAAAATGCATTTTCTAATACATCTAATGCGAATGAAGCCTGTATCTTGAAAAAAAAAATGGAAAATTTTAAATTTGTTTTCCATATAGCACGACATTCCAAAATACTAACATCCACGTACCTTTCTTTTCAAGGCATTGTGTCATTTCAAAACCTGATTTGTCCCTCGCCGCCATTCTAGTGTTAAATCAATTTTCAGTTTTCACACAATTCAAGACTTAAAATAAACTAATAGTGCTAAAACAGCATGTATTTTCTTGCCCGTACTTTCACGCAAAATTACGCGAAAAGTATTCACATTTTCGAAAAATTGTTCATGACCTTCAAAGTCTATCTTTAAGGAACAGATTTCATTAATGGAAAACATCTCTGTATTCATAATTGTAGTTGTAGGAAGACGCCGAAAAAAAATTAATTTTTGCAATTAAAAAAAATCAGTTTTACAACGAAAATCATCCACGCACCATTCTCACCACAAGTCCTTCACACTATTTAACAACAAAAGTTTGTCAAAAACGATGGAGCTTTTGAAAATGTCCCAGGGTCTTTATGTGAATTCCCGAAAATTAAAATTTTGGTTTCAAATTCAAGAAGCAACGACATCAGTCAGATAGATTGGGAAATCTCAGTTTTGGAGTAAATCAACTGAACGGTTTAGCCGCTAACGTTGCGCACAGACGGACGGAGACGTTTTGCCGTCAATCAATTTTTCGGTATGAACTAACAAAACATGGATTCTGGCTACACCGTGTGTGAGAGGATTTTATTGTTCTGAATTTAGCGACTGGATTTATCCACTTTGTCGTTATCAGGGTCCTGTAATAAGTATTTCTGCCGAAAATTCGTCGTAATTTCGCGCAGCGTTACATAACCTTTTCTCTCTATTGCGTAAGCGGTAGTGAGAAAGTAAAAAGGATGCAAGAGCTCTATGTCTTAACTATGGCCCAGCAATTGGAAAAAAAAATCTGAAAATTCACAACGGGTTTGAGATTTTTTTCGTACCTGGGCCGTTCAGCAAAACAGTTGTAAATCCTGGTCCCCCTTCATTTCCCCCACTTATCCTCCACCTGTGCCCGAATTGATTTCTCATAGACTGCCAAACTCCATATTTCGTTAGTGTATGATATATAAAGGATTATAAAGCTTTGCTTTACTTAAGTGATTAAATAAAATTACAAAATTATTTTCTGTAATTTATCATAAACTTTTTACTCCTAAAAGTAAGTTTATAATCACAAAATAAATTAACGACATGTCTAACTAGCCTCCCATCTTGTGTCAATCCAAGGGCCTCCTTTGTTGAATTTGTGCCACTACCTGCATCTGTTTCAAATTTGAATTTATTTTCTTGCTAGGGCTGAGGAGGGGGTGTAAGGCCACCATGCCCCTCCCCCTCCCAGATTTGCCACAGTCATTAAGCATTGCGATATAAATAAAATGTATGTGGTTCATGCTTTCTACTCCTATACGAGTTAAATGCATTCAAATCCATGTTAAAAATGTTCACAAATTTTAATTTATAAGGCAACAGTAATTTTAAGTTTCATAACAACACTGTAAAACTTTACATGCAATTTTATGGTGCCATATTTTCCAGATGTTTTCAGGTTGTTTGAAAAACATACCTAGGAGAAACTAACCACACTAATACCAGAATGTAAACTTTAATTTCAGATATAGCAATACTGACATTGAATAAAAACTTTGCTTCTAATCTCTTCATACAATGGAATATCTATTAGGAAACTACCAATTTTAAGAATGTTTTAAGTCTTTTTACATCAATTATTTACAATTGCAAAACTATCAAACACACAATTTCATATTATATAATACTCTACACCATAACTTTTTATTATGTCCACCAAAATAATTTTTTTCTCCTTTGGATTTGACAAAAACATATTTTTTTAATTTTAAATATAAATATCTGAAGCGGTACCATACTCTATTTACACCATAACTGTTTGTTATTATACACTATATTAAGTTTTCCTGCTCCTGAGAGTCTCTGTATTCTCTTCTAAGGAGAATAAGGACTCTAAGGACTAAGGAACTATTCCAAGTCGCGCATTCCATTCAAGAAGTCTTAATGACTGATTTAATCTCAGTTTTCCTGTCTCTGGGAGAATTTAAAAAGTAAGTTTTTCTGCTCCTGAGAGTCCTTGCATTCTCCTTTAAGGAGTTTAATTTAATGTCTCTGAGAGACCTTGTGGCATCTTCAATGGGCAACACGGTGTGATTTCGAGGGAAGGTCTGGATCTTCTTGAATGGAATGCGCGACTTGGAATAGTTATCAACTTTCGAAGGGCTTTGCCGCTCTCCCGAAACAGTTCTGAATTTACTTTCGAAGTTCATCTTTTCTTGGCAGGAATTCTCTTTCTGGAAAACTTTGTTTCGATCTTTTGACTGCATTTCGTGGATTTGCATTGTGAACTCCAACATCTGAAACACCAAGAAGACATGTTCATTTTATGTCGATAAAATTTTTAATGTTAAACATTTCTCTAAAATAGATCAGTATATTAGTTCCAAGGTGGTGTGGCATATGATAGTAATATTAATGGGAAATAGAAAAATATTAATGTGGAAATTAAAGTCTGGAAATGCAGGTAGGAACATGAGGGAAGGGAGAGTTTTGAGAATGGTGGATAGGTCCAAAATATTTAGAGTAAAAATGGTATGTAATGATATATAATATTTATACATAATTATTCAAAATTGTGTTATAGGCAAGTATTAGATGAATAATAAATTTATTGTATATAGTGAATAAGAAAAATCCCTTCGTTGCAGCCCTGATGAAGGCTTAATAAAAGTTCAAACTGTTGCGATTTGAATATTTTTTTTTACTGACAAATTCAAGAAAATTGCATACTATAAATATTAAAAATTCTACATGCCATTATGATATGAATCAATTAGAAAGAAATTAAAATTTCATAGTACACCATGATTTTGAAGAAACCATTATTTTCTAGCCATCTTTATATAGCTCAGATTTCCAATAGGGTATCATTCGAACAGTTGCAAAGAGCCAATATAAGTGAACTTTAGAATTACAAATATTTATTTACATGCTCTGTATAAGAAATAACTGAAACAAAGAAAAATTCATTTTATATACATTTATATATACTTTAATTATAAAATATTATTTAATCCGTGGACAATTTTAAAAGTTTTTTCGCTTTCTCGTCTTACTCCATCCCAAGAGAATATCTTGTAATCATGCGCCAGAAACTTCGATTTTCCGACAGAAATGCCACATTGGGGTGGGGGTGGGGGTCTGGTAAAGAAAAATTGAATAAATCAATTATCTGTATGTACTAAATTACTTCCTATAACAAGATATGTAGTCAGAATCTATGTTTTGCGGGTCATTGATACCGAAAAATATTTACGACAGAACGTTCGTCCGTTCGTGGTCAATTCTAGCGCCTAAGCCGTCTAGATGATCGCAACTTTTCAAAACATTGGGAAGTTTTTGCGTAATTTTGCGTGAAATTTGACAATTTTTAAACAATTCGTTTCTAAAAAAGGCTCAATTTTCTCTAATTTTTCCTCTTCGTACGTATGGTCGCCACGCTTGTTTATACCTTATCCATAATACAATTATGTATTGAAAAAATAGTGGGGTAGGAATTCTGGAGCCAGAGAAAACCTGCGCAAATTATTATTCTTCCAAGGCACACAATTATTCATTTCTGGGGGGAGGGAGGGGCGATACATTAACGTTTTATCAAAATTAGAAAAACCTTAGAAATTGAATCCGGTAGTTCCTGCAATGCAAATTGTAACTACTATTAATGCAACTGATAAGTCGTACGCCCGAAAAGTTTTAGCGTCTTGTCGACGTTTCCTGACTGCCGAACTGAAAAATTAATTTGCGTTCACGTGCGACTTCAGTTTTAATAACTTTCTGCTAGAAACAGACATTTCACAACAGTTTTGACGATGTGATCGAGACAGGATTACTCTCAATGAACACAAAGGATTCAGACCAACTGTTCACGTGTAAACGGTATAGTTTGATTTTTTTGAAAATATGAACTTTTGGATCTCCTATGTACAGTAAATACATTGTGAGTACTCTGATTAATTAGAAAGAAAACGAAGGTAACTATTTAGATTTAGATTTATTTACTATAAAAAAAATGTATGTGACTTATGGGGAAGAAGATCATCTGCGCACGTTTTCTTGAGTTCCAGAATCCCTTCCAGTCATTTTGACTATAAATAGTTGAAAGATGAGTAAAAGTTTAAAAGAAATAAATAAATAAAAATAAATCTTAAAAAAGCGCGAGATTATCAGAAAAAAACTAGACATTTCCGTTCCCGAGTTATAGAAAACGTATTTGTATCGGTAAACGATTTGCAGATATGATTTTTCTGCATTGCTAACAAAACAGTAACTCGCCCGTGCCTCTACTCTTACCACTACAAGCAAAAGGAGAGTTCAACAAAACTTATGCATAGTGACGCTACATTTACGTCCAGAAGCAAAACAACGTTATTGTACATCAGTGTTTTAACTATTTATTGACATTTTTAGCCATCGAGCTGATTTTTAAGTAGTTTCAGAGAGAAAAGAATCCATAATGGATAAGTAAAAGTGGTGTCACGCACGTACTCCTGAGGGTGGGTGGGGGGTCATATTTTTATTACGAAGTTGTCCGAAAGGGGGGGGGGATTACAAAATGACCTTGTGTAACGATCACTTTAGGAAAATTTGGTTGAAATTATAGATGAAGCACACAGTCACGCTAACAATGGAACACCCCGTAACTTCTAAACGGTTCAGAATCTGAACGCTGTTTTCGTTGAAGAATGTGTAATCATGGAGCAAGTATCATGTGGTAGAGAAATTATCACTAATATTTTTAGTTTTCGAGAAATTTAAGCATTAATTCTTTTAAATGGAACTTTATATTTTAAGCCAGCAATGGATACTGAAAAGAGGAATAAAATGATTTATCATATGCTAATATTTGAAAAAAAAAATTGACTAAAATTGAACTTTCTAAAACGTGATTTTTAATTAACTGACAATATTTCTTGTAGCAGCCGTTGCAACTCTCGCCTTCGGGGAAGGTGGCCTTCGTGGCGTCAAGACTGTTGCGAGATGTGGCAGTGAGGGATAAGAGGCATAACTACAGCAATCCACGGTCTTGACACACAAGCCCCACTGAGGGACGCCAATTTTAACGATCAGAATATGAGATTTTTCCATTGATTCATTTGGATTTATCTTACCTTCTACTGAAATTCAAAAACGTCATTCCAAAGAAAGATATAAAGAATTAGTAGCGTAAGGAAGATGATAATTAATATCCTTTTCAACATTGACAAGAATCTAACCAACGTCTCTTCGTTGGTAAATTTCATTTTGAATTAACGTGATCACTTATCCACTTAATAACCATACGACTGCTGTTGTTCAAAAATGGAGATTAAAACTACACTTCCGACTTTTGCAGTGGATTTTCAGGTTCGAGGCAGCACGTGGTGCTACGAAGTGAGAAACTCTCCAATCAGCATTAGCAGTCGCGACTGCAGAGTTTGTTAAACCGTGTTATCGTTAGGCAAGTTTACACTGATAGAACTGTCGAGAGAATTTCTAAATTTTTATTGATTGGCTTTTTTGGTACACGTTTATATAGGAAGCTCATGAACAATAAATAAGAGAAAATTTCTACATGCCTATTATTGATAAATTAATCGAGATATTACTATGAAAATCTTTAAGTATTAATTCCCTTCCCAGGTTTTCAAATGGCTTGTTTAAACGATAACACACCGAGCTGGATTATTTTAAGTTTGAAAATGACCTTTATTATCATCGTTCTTCCGCTACAATTTTATTTTGTTCTTTTCGATTGTTTCTTTGGAATTTCAGTAGAAGAAAGGTTCAATCCAGATGAGCAAAAGGAAAAAAACTTTCTGATAGTTAATATTCATTTTTGGTCATATGTTGTTCGTGTCAAGACCATGAATTGCTGTAGCTGCGCCTCTATCCTTCACGACCACCCCTCTTACACCTTTCTAAACGAAACAGTCAACACCATGAATGCCACCTTCCCCAACTGCGACTGTTGCAAGGTTTGGTACAGGGAATATTTTAAGTTTACTTAAAAATCTCATGTCAAAGTGTAATTTTATATTCAAATTACTATAAAAATATTAACTTATGATACTTCATTTTATTCCCGTTTTCACAATCTATCCATTGCTGGTGACAAAAATGTATAGTTACATTTAAAAAAATCAAATATTAAATTTTTCGAAACTAAAAATTTTATAGATAATTTCTCAACGGCACGGTACTTGCCCCCACGATTCCACAAAGTTAAGCGAAAACTCCATTTCGATATCCTGAACCGTTTAGAAGTTATGGGGGTGGCCCATAGTTGGTGGGACACCTGTAGTGTCTTGATTTCTTACCTTAGGACTTTCTGATTCATGGTTGTTGGCACTGAGATCAGCCTCTTCTCGTACAGTTTTACTGAAGTAGAGTGGCTTCTCTATATATCGATCGTAGTATTCTGGGGATTGTTGAAATAGTCCTGTTTTTCTCCGCTTCTTTTGAGAGACTACCTCTTCCATTGCGCTGTTTCGACTCTGCAATGGCCAGGGTTTCTGAAACGAGGCGAAGTAACTTACAACTTCATATTTTTCAAAGGTATGTAAAACATTCTCTTGGTGCATTTATGTTGCAACATTCAATGCGATTATCGATAAAACTTAACCCCTCCCTTAAACTAATATTAATCGCTTGGTTATCACTGTGCATAATATTGTGTTCTCGAAATTCGAAATCTGTCTGCACCGAAACACTTCGCACGAAACTGAAAGGCCCGTTGTCATGAAATTAAAACTCAAAGTGCAACCTCGCTCTTTGAAACTGCGGAACAGGCATGCTTTCGCTCGCGAGTTCCTTCATCGGTCTTAGATTTCGTTCTCCGAACCCCCTGCGCACGGTGTGGATGTGTGAACGGGAGCAGGCGAAGGGATAAAACCGAAAGCAACTTGCTTCTCCGCGAGAGGAGCTTATTTCAAGTAGAGATTAATTGAATCGTTTATTTCAGAAATATGTCAAACGCCAAAATATAAAACACGCTTTAGCGACGGATTATTGTTCCAGGAGGAAGATACATCGTTTAGTGCATATTTATATGAAAAATATTTAACACCTTCAATAAAAAAAAAATTGAAACCTGAAAAATTGGGAGACATTTTCGGTTTTCTCGAAATGAGGAATTTGGCGTTTGACGGGTTTCTGAAATAAACTATTCATACCGTCGTTCTTCGTAGTCTTAATTCTGCGCCAGGAATCATTTTCTCATCAGAAAAAAAATATATAAACCAATGTTTTAGAGCCAAAGAAATCCTTATGGGCGAGGTGGAAAATTCGGTTCTCGTTTTCCCACAAAAAAAGTTCGATAATCTTTCAAAGTGCTTTGAAGTAGTCAAACTGTTTTAGCGTTACAGTTCGCTTAAAACTGCTGGGTGGGTTAACCTCTTCAGGTACGCGTAGTCTTTTGGAAGTATTCGTAGCTGGAAGCTTAAGATAAAAAATAAAAATTCTGGGAGAGAATTTGGCGAAAAAAGTAAGAATATTTAATTGAGAAATGAAAACGCAACTAATACAAGTTTAATTAAACTTGACGCTGGATTCTTGAATACTTTGTGCCAAGTTTCTTTTTCTATCTGTAGTGAGCAATATTTTCTGTAGCAACCCTTGCGCCATTCCACATCAAATCGCACAAGAGTTGACATAACTTTTTAAAATTTGCGATATTTTTTTCTTAAATCTGGACATCGGAACTGGTTTTTATTTACCTGAAAATGCATTATTTGTGTACTTATGCTTACATTAAATTTTGAGAATTTACTAGTATTTCGGAAATTAAGTGTTACTCCGAATATACTCAATATAAAATCCCTGCTTTTTTCGTTTAATACTTTGAAATGTAAATTTTATTCCCCTGTAAATCATTTTTTCCAAAAATTATTTCAGTTAAAAATTGTAATTTATAAAAAACATTAACATTTTCTATATGAACTCTCGTCAGATAACATTTAAAAAAGAATATAGGCGCATTTCCTTGGTAAGTTTTCTATAAAATACAAGAAAATTGGGCACTTTACACATACAATTCTGGAAACATCAATTGAGTAAGAGGACGCCCTCTCCCTACTTATGCTCTATCGGATTGTGTTCGGCCGGATTGTCTTTGATCTAAGTGCTGAACTACAAAAGAGAATGACCGTGTGACCAAAAGGATGACAGCGAAAATAATTCTCTATTGCTTTTCAGCGAAACGAATTTTACTGCTGGGACCCTTTGCGTCTTAGGGATGGGGCGTCCTCCTGACCTTGGTCGTAAAATACAACAGACCTCTTGTCAAGGGATATTAAAAGAAATTCCCCTATCATTCACACCAATACGAATATATTCACACCATTGTCACTTTTTATATTCCTGATTACTTACCACATCATTAAGAAGTTCATGAACGTTAATATTATTTGTGATTTCCCGCGAACTTACTTGCCTTGATTTACTTACTTTACTTACTTCCCGTGATTTACTTGCTTTTCCTTTCCTATGCCTCGAACGAATAAGCAGTTAAGAATAATTGTAACAAAAATATACTTCGACAATTAATTGCTCGGAAACCTGAAAGCTTCTTAAAATCGCACTTCCCAACCCCCGTTCACTTGACTCACGAACTCACTCGCTCAACTTGCCGTCTTTACCTTCAGTGACAGCAGTGGCGCGTTGCTGTGACGTTGACAGTGCCACCCAATCAAAATTCAAGAATGACAATCGCACTAGAGAATCCATGCCTGGACATCCTTAAAGAAAACCCCCAAATCAAAGATATAGTACCTTCGAACGAGTATATCTGGGCGAATTATGGTTGATTTTGATGAGGACAATTTATTTCAAGGTTTGAGTATTATATTATGTGTTGCCGAATAACAATACAATCTATCATTAGGTACCACCACAGTTAATTTGACTATTCCACTCATGAAATTAAAACGACTAGTGTTTGACTATACAGACAGTATGCCCCAATTAGGGCGGTGTATCTCGAACAGTTTATCACTTTTTCTATCAGAATTTTCTTACCGCTTCTCCCTTCTGGCCAATCATAAACTATGACTCATCTCTCTTCGGAGGCGGTAAACATATGTCGGAATCCAATTAACAGCCGTGATTTTAACATATTTTCAATATTTGGCGCAGTTTGGATCTCGATTGGACATAATTTCTCTCGTGGAATAGCCCAATTATATACCACTCGTGCTTTGAAAATTCTCAGATAAATCCCCTCCGCACTTCGCGAGTCGGGGATTTATCGACAATTTTCAAAGCACTCGTGGTATTATCTATGATAATTTATTCTTAGTTGTATTAATCTCCAATAAAATATAAAATATATAATAAAAATCGTAAATGCAGTTGCAAGGTTTTAGAAATAATCAATAAGAATAGTATTATATGAAAAATTAATTTATGTAGGTTTAATAAAATTTAATGAAACTTGTTTATTATCCAATACTGTCAATGTTAACTTGAAGACAAATAAGTTAAATTATTGTTAATTTCAACTTTTGGTTGCCAGTTACATAATTTGCAAATTTAAAACTGGTTCATAATTTTTTCCAGACTACCACATTTTTAGTTATTATACATGGTCACAATAGGCAATTTTAAAAACAAAATGTTCTTGATATGAAATTACATTGATTATCCTTTAATTAAAACATTTGTCAAACCTTTTACATTTTTGTTACTTATCACACTCTACGATTTATTTTACATTCAGGAACCCACTTTGTTTCCTTCTTTAGGTCCTTTAATAAATATACATAAATGATTGAAATGAAATTATGAAAATGATTGAATGAGGATTACAACAACGATTTAAATCATAAAATGTAATGATATTACATCACAATAGGTCCAAAGTAAATATTCAAATCAACTCATCATCAATTTACATGAAGTACAGTGTCCCTAAAATGCTACATATTAAAATTTGGCAAACTATTAGCCATAATATATCATCATCAAGGGTTTCTAAATCAACACAACAGTGCATTGATGTTGCCAAATTCTGCATCCCATTCCGTCTGGCAATGAGCCTTATTAAACCTGAGGTTTACATGATAACTGCATGGATATTCAAACCCTTAATATCTCCCACAATAGTTGTATCTTATCGGAACTCACTACGCCAAGATTAATAAGATTTTGAAAAACTATTTACTGACGGACATATGAAACCAAAGTGGGTAGTCCAATTGATCTGCAACCCTTAATATCACATAATTACTAACCTTAATCATTTTTTGTTCATGGTTATTTGCAACATATCCCCTTGTTTCACTGATAGAGAATTGGGGTGGAGGAAAAGATATCACATTTACTGATATATTTCTCTGACGATTATCAAATAGAAAGTTGTTTGCATTAACAGATGAATGTCATAGTGTAAGTCTGCATCATTCTTAATAGTGTTTACTTGGCTTAAAATTCTTTCACTATGGCCAGAAACCTTCATGATGTGAAGTTACCTTCTCACTGATTTTCATGTGCCCTATCTCCACTATTTTCACTATTATCAATGCTCACTTATTGTGTTGTTTTATTAATATCTAAGTTTTAAGAATTCTACTCAAGAGTATCAGATACATCTTTTCCTTCTTTTGTAATTTCTGTATTTGTTGTCATAATCTTCTGTAAATTTCTCAAAACTTACCTCAGTAAGTTTTCTCAAAGTTTTGGGTCGAGAATTTATACAGGATACCCAGGGAGGAAATGTTGAAACTTTGTGATTGTGATGTGATTGTGAAATTGTCTTAAGAGGTTTTTTTTAAGTTTCCAGATTTCCTTCCTGTACATTCTGTGTATGGGAGGATGCTAAGATTATATGCTGACTCTTCCACAACACCTACAAAATTGGTGTTTTGGGCCAATGTCATCTACATTGGCTGTATATTCTGCCTTTATATTGTTAGATTTTGACAAATTTACAATTTTCTGATCACTGCACTTGACAAACCCTTCCTGATCAACATTTCCTACCAAAGCATGGTTTGCAAGAAAGGCAGACTGTGATGTGTGTGATCCATTGTTATCAAACATTTTGCAAAGCTAAATTATCATGATTTGCATTATACTAGGTGCATTCTAAGAGGTTTTATCATTCTGAAAGTATTTAAAAAAGGAAAACAAGATGTTAAAATCATATTTGAAGTTGATTTGCTGGGATAAGTATTCTTTGTTATTGGTAAGAACAAATGGCACTTCTTACCTTATTTTAGTACCTCTGTTAGTCAATTAATAGCCCTATATTTGTATTTAGAAAATTTGTGTTATTATTCATTTTATCCTGACCAACCAATATGTTAACTACATCTTCAATGTAATGTTATGTTTTTGTGATATATTTTGTTATAGTTCTAGCATTCACAATAATTTTTACTTCAGGTTTTAAACAACTGCCTGTAGGAGTTGTTTCAGAATACATGAATTGATTGATTGAAAGCAGGCCTCCCAGCATTTAATGAAACTCAAAAGAGTCTAATAGTGAGATTTCTTGTCTAAAAAATGTAAGTAAATAGTGAATAATGAAAAATTTAAGTTACCATGATGTTTACATGAAAACATTAATTATTGAATTTTTAAGAAGTAATATTAATTACAGAAGTAAGTAGCTTTTATAACTACATTAATTCTAACATTTCTTATCAATCCCAAACAATAAAAAAGTATCTCTTGAAATTATAAAGCTTTATTAACACACAATAGTATACTTAAATTTTCATACACGATGGTACTTGTTTCAATCTCAACTATTTCCCCTTTTTTATGATTTTAATTGTTGTTACTAGGTCAGTCTTGGCATTAGAACCTACTCATGTAACATCCTTGGCTTCTTAGGGCTTCACAAAAACTTTTAAAAATTTTTAGTTAATAAAAATCAAAGTCAATTATAAAAGTCAGTAATCTTCAAAAATTGTTTGTTTCATTGTTGACAGTTTTCTAAAATATCAATTATAGAAACAGAATTATTACTTCCAGCATGAAGTTGCTCTGTTTTTGTGTTACACTCAATATAATAATTTCCATATATAAATATTGTAAATTCCCCAAAATTTTTAAGTGATAAGTAGTACTCTGAATGAATAAAATTTGGGAAGCATGGATAAAAATCTAAAATGTTAACTTCGCATATTATGTAATTTAACAGACGTAATATTCTGTTATATCTAACCCAAAATCACTGAGCAGTTACTTCAAACTTGGCAAACTTGAAATTTCAAATTATGAAATCATAAGGTAGTTTCCTGGATAATGTAAAAGGAAATGTGAATGCATTCATCCAATAATTGTTGAAACTAGTATTAAATTGTCAAACACTAAGATGACATTGAACCATCAACTTCTTCTACTATAGTCTGGAGGCCACAGGATTCCCTGCTGGTGGATGTGTGCTTCTCATAAAGGTGCTGCCCACGCCCTTCTTTACTCCCTTAACCTGTCTCCAAGCATGCCAACTCATCTGAATTTCTTGTCTTTCTTTTTTGAATCATATTACTTTTTCTCATTTTTCCCAGCTGTGTTGACTTTAGAATAGGAAAATATTAGAACAAGTGTAGTAGATGTTGCTAATGAAGCATTTGTGAGAGAAAAAGGAAGAAGGAAAATGAGAGAGAGTTGTCATGAGGAATGTACTAAACCAGCTCAAGGAAAGACTAATCAAAAGCAAAATTTTTGAAAATAAGAACCAGAGTGACAAAGCCATAATTCTCAATTAAGAGAAAAGAACAAAACCTAAAACAAAGAATAAAACATGGTTAGAGAATAGAATAATAGATATAGAAAAAAACAAGAACAAATGAAATTAATTTTATAAATAAATAACAATTCAGCTAAACCTTCAGGATAAATTGAAGAGTGCAGATGGAAAAGAAAGCCTTGTAACTGAAAAATGAGAACTTTTAGTGGTATAAATGTAATATTGTCAAGATCTTTTGAATAAAGATGTAGGGATTACTGAGTTTACTCAAGAAAACATGAAACAAATCGAAAATCAATTGAGTAATTTACACCTGCCCACCTACGGAGAAGTATGTGGAAAAATAAAGATCGACAACAATTGTTCTGATGATCTTGAAATAAAAAAATATGCTCTCATATAACTACATTAGCACCACTGTCAATATTAAAAACTCAGTAAAAGAAGAAATAAAAGAACAAATTACTTCTGTTAATAGGGCATTCAATGCATACATAAATTTCTTTACTAGCAATCTCTTTACTAACTTCTATTAAGGTATTCAAAATTGAAATTATAAAGTACCATTATAAAACCTTTAGTGACATATCAGTACATAACAATCATATTTAAGTAACATAGTTCTACTAAAATTAGTCATATCTGAAAGAAAGATCTTGTGGAAAATGTTTGGCTCTATGATGCTTGGTGATACTATAAGCAGAATAAAAACAAATTATGAAATTAATGCACTAATAAATCACAGAAGTATTGCCAGAGACATTAAATCTAGGAGAGTTGATTGTATTGAGCACCTAGAAAGGCTGCATCCAGATAGACTTTCTAAGAATATAACGGAATAGAAAGCAATAGCAACAAGGTACAAAGACTGACCAGAATCAAAATGGAAAGATGATATGGAAGACTAATGTAATTTATAAATGGAGAATTATAAAATGATAGCTCCAGACAGAGGAGTGGCAGATTGTTGAGCAAGCCTAGTGTTGTAGGATGAAAAGAAGAAGAAAGAGCAAGTATACTGTGCATGTATTTCCAGAAGAATATATTTTCATATTCTTAAACTTCATGATTTTGAATAGTTTGTCAATGTCTTTAAGAAAACATATATATGACCTATATGATTTATTATGTTATCTTACTGCAACACTATATTAAATGTCTTTTTTTCTGTACGACATTTTTTATCTAGCCAGATAATATTCATGTAGAAACAATATTTTTATGACGATTGTTGAAATAAAAATGTCAAAATGTGACACTATTTTCATTTCCATAAATTACAATACATGTAATATTGAGAAAGAAAGTTTATTGCTCAATATCTACAATGAGTTTACTCACAAAAGCAATTTCTAAATTTCTTTTGAAGTAAATATGAGGCATTCAAAATATAATTTTTGTCAACCTAAATTAATCTTCTTATTTAGTATTATGTGTAAGAAACAAGAAGATAAATGTATGGAGGTTGATTTATTTTTCCTCAAAACTTTTGGAAAAGAAGGAAACGTATATCTACTAACTAACAAAATAATAACACCTTTCATTTTTCATCTGTTAGGTGCATTTTGCCTTTGAAGTAGGGACTATGTGTTCATTAATTTCATTTCGTAGAAAAATACATAAACAATATTTAAAATTTAAAAATCTTTTTTTAATTTCTCACCTACCTCTTACATGGATGAAGTAATTGTAATGCTGCAGAGAAAAGAAGCGATTTTTCATCAGAAAACCTTGTATTGCATGTCTCTGACCTCGATACCAAAATTGGATAATTCATGGTCCTATATGTAGTATTTCCCCCCTCTACTACGTTACATAGTCATAAATCATGATTTGTAGGACCTTAATAGCTAGAATTGGTTTACTGTTTGTCTTTCTGTCCATCCGTGGACAACACTAATGAGTAAATCATTCATAAGATTTTCTCCCATGATAATTCCCCTGTCGATCTGACCGAGCCCATGCGAATTTGAAACATATTTTGATTTTTGGATAGTAACATGAAACCTCAAGGATATTTTCAAAATTTTCTCAAAAATGGATTAAATATTTTCTTTAAGGTTATTTCTTTCCCCCCGGTTAGAGCAAAGTGTGCTTATTAAAAGGGATAAAGGTCCAATTTTGATTGAACTTTTCAAATTTTCAAAATACCCGAAAGTTATTTTTTTGTGTTTTCCTATCACAATAATATTAATGACAGATATTATGTTTGTAGTGAAATATATTTTTAAATATTAGATTTTTAAATAATGTCGTGTTAGTATGAATGGTTTTCCTTTAATTTTTAGTGACCGTTACTAATAATGCCAGAAAGTATGTGATGCTGTATCTCTACTAGTTTCATTATAAAATCTTTATTTTTTGTACTTATATTAATTCTACCATTTTTTCTCTGTCTGACTGTCTGGCTGTCTTTCCTTCTCTGCTCTCTCTCTCTCATCTCTGTAGCTTGCTTGTCTCTGTAGCTAGCTTGCTGTGTTTGAAAGGTTGTTGATAATAAATATTGCAACATTTATGCCCAGGAAAGAAAAGGGAAACAGTGTGATTGCATTTCAAACGGTTGAGTTTGATGTGGATTATGGCAGGAGAAAAACACCATTGATTTATAAATGAACATTATTTATTAAAGTAGTACAAACTTCAACAGAAGAGTTCACAATAAATAGCGTACAAATGTATATTAACATTAATAAATAATAAATAACTAAATAAATTAAATTTCAAGTATGGTTACTTTTACTGGAATGAACACTATTACTTTGGTCTGGGAGGTCAATGTGTTGTCAATCTGTAAGACAGTCCATACTGATTTTACCAATCGTTTAATCCCTTATATGAGTATTTAGTTCGGTAAAGGATGTGAATTGCAATTAACAGGTTTTACGAAAAACAAAAACATTTGATTTTGAGATTAGAAATTCTAAGTAAGAACAGTAATGGCAATAGATGAACTTCTTATTTTGTGACATTAGTATTCACACAATAAATGCATTCTGAGATAGAACTATAAACTACGATCATTTCTTTAATCTGATTGATCATTTACTTCCTTGACTGGCCTACAGAAAGAATACTATTGAAGTTACTATCTACAACTGCACATACTAAAGAAACAGACGTTCATAATTTATTTCGTAAACATTATGTTGCACAGTACTTGTATTGCTATTTGAGGACTCTGTGTAAAGGGAAGTGTTCGTTCTGAAGGAGTTATTCGGAGAAAAGGTATTTCAAAGTACTGAGCAGCATAAATGATTCTAAGGCGTGTTTGCCATGTTTGTCTAAATTCTAACAATTGGAAATCACATCGAAGTCTCTAGTAGTTTTCGTCACGAAAAAAGGTAGAACCGTGTCATTTGGATCGAAAACAAATCTCTGTTCGAAGCGACTCAAGTATTGAGGCTACGTCGCGATAATAGTCTGTTCGCCCCACTCCAGCCTAGGGGCGCTTTCGTCGCGTGATCTGAGGGACGGGAGTTCGGACAAAGCATTGGGAATGCGTAGCGTCGATGTACCCGTAGTCCCTGGGCCAATGCTGCGTCCGAACGCGAATGCACAGAAAACAGTAGACGCGTGGAAACACGGCACGTTTCCTCGCGCTCTGCTCCGCCCACGCTCTTCCACCTTGGGCGTGGGACGTTGCACGCCGCGAGCCTAGTCCAGAGCGGTCCTAGTCTGCACTCTGTCCGTCGCAGAACAGCCAACTCACTGTCTTCCGCGCGATGCGACAAGACTCGTTCAAACTGTTCCCTTTTGTGCGGGACGTGGGTAAACCGTGTAGTAAGCAGATACAAATAAATTTAACAATAAAAAAGGTATAGCTATTTGTAATACATTGTGAAGAACACACTAACGCACACTTCCGAAACGCCGAAAACAAGAGCGATGGCCAATAAATAGCACTATACCACCCCCCAGCGGATGAAGGCATCGTGAGAGCACTTCGTAGAACAGAGAAGGCCGCAAGACGCGAGAGGCCGGGTCCCGGTCGCGGGGTAGCTAGGCGGGGTGGGGCGTGGGGAGGGGTGTTTTACGCGCTGCGTGGGAAGTAGGAGCTGTAGGCCTGCTCGTGGGCGTCGGGGCCGGTGCCTGCGTGGTGGGCGGGGCCGGCGGCCGAGGCGGCCGCGTGCTGCTGGTTGGGCTCCTCGTAGCTGCGGCCCCACAGCCCGCCCCAGCCGCCCTTCTCGTCGTCGTAGTGGTGCTCGTGCTCGTAGTGGTGCTGGTGCTGCGCGTGCTCGTAGTAGATCACCTGCGAACACGAGGCAGCGCTCTCTTAGCCCCCTTTGATTCAGTGGTTGGTGTTTGCCAACACGCCTCCTGCTATGGCCATTTGCACTATTAGGGTAGCGAATGTGTTTGTTCCCGGAGGTTGCGGTGTTTCTTTCCTCATGGATGGCGAGGTCCGGCGCCAACCTACATATCCTGCTTACGGGAATTTCCTCTTCCTGGTACGTCACTGGTGGGGCACCTCCTCAGTCGACCAAGTTCTAAACTCTCGATTGGTATTCCGGCATTTGTGCGCATGCAAGAATATGTTAATGTGTATGTAGAGGAGAGGAAGCCACAAGTATGTGGAAGAAAAGATCGCGAGAGGTTCATGGCCCGTTATTTAAGGTACTACTCCGGCATTCGCCTGACATTGCTCGGAGGAACCGCCGAACCGCCCGGAAAATTTCCGATCAGAGCAGCCGGCTGAATTCGACCAGCAGCTACCTAGCTCGTATTGAAAATCCTCGTTAGGCCCCGTCCACGTACAAACATAATCGTAATCAAGGTGTAAATATAAGTTTTGCTCCAGGTTATTCAATTGACTCCAAGCTTTCATTATCGTGCTGGTGTTATTGGAGAAAAAACACACTATAACACTGCAATTTGTCGTAAAAGAAAGATAATATCAAGCCAGTAGATGAATAGTTATTTTTTAAAAAGTCTTAAAGTTCTTAACTTTATTTAAAGTCGCTTAAAAAACTCTTGTCATGTGTGGCAACAGTGGTTTCGAATATTTTACAGTTTTTATATACAAAATGGAAAGTGTTGATACGAAAACAACATAATTCGATGTCATTTTTTAATACACGAAAAACATGTAACAACACTAAGTGAATTATTATTGTCTATATTTCATTTTCTGTTTTTTATCAAACCTCTTAATTTGTACTTACATTTAAAACATTACCAACATTCATTTTGTTTCTAAGTTTTATTTTAATATTGGGGTCCAGTTGTCCCTGTGAATGTGAACATGAATCTTGTGCTTATGTCCGAGCGTGAGTCTAAATGATCCGATATGGGTGGGATCTTAGGCTACGATCATACGGTGCAATTCTCCGCTCAAACTGGCACACTCGTCAAACACATTCGCTCCTCGAGAGGGGATAAGGAGACATGTGAGTAAACTTATTCCCATACACATTTTTCTATGGCGATAAATTTCGGCTGAACTAACAGACTTCGGTCTTCTGCTTTGAAAATTGAATTACTGCTCCCTGGGCCCGAGAGCAAATATCCATATTGAGTACGTTTTTATTAATTTATTGCATTCTGTTGGCTGATTCATATATCAGTTTATGATTAACTCTACACATGATCTGAGGATTAAGTAACTTATATCTAAACCTTCAATCTATTTCATTAGATGAGGATGCTCTAGTTGGGTAATGTACTCAGGTTCAATTTGAGCGATTTATTAAGGAATATGTTGAGAAGATATCTAATTTTGATTTTTTTTTTGCCGAGTCTGAAAGTTGCAAGGAAAGGGATTTCAGGTAAGTTGGAGAAAAGTTTGTGGCCAGATGTATATTAAGTTCCGTGTATTCTAAATTGAAATTTTTTGTGAAGTTGATTGTTGGTGACAAGCCATGGAGCATATTTTGTGTACGTATTCACTTCGACATGCTTTCGTTGATGTAAACAACACACTGCCCCATTAGACCATTCCAGTCTGCTTTCTTATATCCTACATCACCTGCTAGAGAAAAAAATACTCTGCGTTATTGTCTCTTACGTCAAAATTTCAGTTTCTGAACTGCTGATAAAAGCGCGTCTTTCTCTTAACCAGTTAAATATCATTGAAACTTCTTATCGTCCGTCAGTCGAGACGTATATAATGATTTACTGCATTGGGCAATAGAGCTACAAAAGCCTGACGATTCACAGTTGCGTATCTCCCACCATGGACGTCTAGAAACATCGTATTTATTAATTTCTAAATATAAGTTCACTTTCAAGATAATTATTAATGCGATAATAATTATCGATATGAATAATGCATAAAAAGCCTCTAGGATGGCTCATGGGAAGCGTATTAGTTTCCCATTGTGTGATTCCGGGTTCGATTTCTGGTCGGGGTAAACATAAAGTTATAGTTTTTGTTCAAAATCAGAATCTGTGACAGAATCATTTGTCACACTTCGATATTGATTTATCGGTGAAGTGGCACTGATTTGGGCAACCGCGGTGAAGCGAAGGATTGATAGATAAATTGTTAGTGATTGCGGGCACGTCAACTATTAAAATAATTATTTCCGTACGTGTAGTGCATGTTCTCCCTCTCTCTCTCTATCTCGAGAGAGAGAGAGGGAGAGAGAGGGAGAGAGAGAGAGGGAGAGAGAGAGGGAGAGAGAGAGAGGGAGAGAGAGAGAGGGAGAGAGAGAG